CGGGGGCAGCGGGACGGCGCCGCAGGCGGCTCGGAGGAGCAGTCCGGCCCACATGACCGGCGCTGCGGGTCCCCCTGGATCTGCTGGGCTCCGGCGCCGCACGCGCGGGGGAGGGGGCTGCCAGCCCTCGCCCCTCCTCCTGGCGCTGCAGGGAGCGAACCAGCGATTCCCGAACTGGCACGCGGAGCTGAGCAGGGGGGCTGGAGACGCCGAGAGGAGGGGCCGGGGGCCGCGAGGGGACGAGGCGGACGGTTGAGGGGATCTCCGGCACCTCGCAGGGAAACACACAAAGGCAGCGCCGCGCGTCTGCCGGTGCCTCTCCGGGAGGCGCGGAGCCTGGGGCGGGGGGGGCAAAGATCAGGGACCCCTGGAGGCGGGGTTTCGCCCTCGGCCCACACCCCCTGCCTGGGTTTGGCAGGCGGCTTCCTGCGAAGGGCTGAGGGCGTCAGGCTGAGGCCCTGGAAGGAAAAGAGACTTCAGGAGCAAGGCTAGCGCCGGAGGCTGCACGCTCAGGGTATCGCCCCTCTCTGTGAAGCCCAAGTCTGTGTCGTCAAGAGGTGAGAATCGTGGAAATCGGAACCCGGGACCCTGGGTCATTGCTCCGCTGGGCAGTTCAAGGCATTCCAGCAGGTCTGCACCCTGACCCTGGGTTAGGTGACGAGTGGATCCACCCACTCCCTGGCTGGGGGCACTACCCGTCCTGGAATCCATAGGCTCCTCTGGGCACCCAGGAGCACCGGGTCGGCCCTCCCGGCTGCAGTTCTGAGAGAGGGATGAGTTGGCTGCGAGGGTCTTGGGCAGCGGAGCCCAGAAGCAGAACTTGAAGGCTCTCCTTGTGCCTGAACAACGGTCAGAGACTGGAGGCCTACCAGGGATTTGAGGCAGACTAGTGAGCAAGTGTTGAGTGTCTCTCGCTGGGAGAGACCAGTTTTACCTCCTGCACCCTGCAGTAACCCCTCCACACCCAGACAATAGTCAGACTTCTGCCTAAATACTTGCCCAGATAAGGGACTCTGTCAAAAAGCAGCCCGGTCGGTTCTAAGTAACTCCATTTGTTAGGAAACGTCTTTACTTCTCAGCTAAACAATCCGGGTTCCTTTGGTTAAGGCCTCCACTGTTGCCCTCCCACTGACTACCTCAGCCTGTCACCGAGGTCCTTAACACTTGTGGCTCCAAAGTGAACAAGGTGTGGCAACAGTAACCTAGAGTCACCTCCTGTAGACACCTTCGTTTTTATTAATACAATCTAATATCACTTAGCTTTTTTGGTAACCCTGTGATCCTGATAGTTCGTGAATTACTGAGTTTACAGTAAAGGAAAACTTAGGTGTCTTTTTTGTCTTCCTTTTATTTTTTTGGAGAGGTTTTTGCTACAGGGCACATGTGCTCGCCAGAAAGACAGAAAGCCCGAAATCACCCCCCAGGGGAGATGGCCACACCTCCTGGTGGACTACATGGGAGTAGAGCAACGTAGCCATTACGCCATCTGCTGATTCTCTGTCTTCATGTTATGTTGCTTTTGTTAAACACAAGCTGCTAAATTGACCTTCCTACCTGAACCTGTGGGTGAGTTTTTGCAGATAGTTCACATAGCGCAACTTGTTTTGATTCACCTTCTAATCAACAACTTAGGCTGCCAGAATATTCTGTATTGTAAAAGGAATGTAATTTCCATGTTTATGTCCATTCCGAATCCTAAGGACCTTTGGAATCCTAGGATAGCTTTCCTTCTTGCCTCAAACATCCAAAGGTTGCACTTTCCCCTGGTGGCTATTAGACCCACCTCCGCTGACACAGGTGCTCCGTCCTGGCCCTAGGAGCTACCCACAAATTCTCAACACGTCCAGCCAGGACAGAAGTCTCCTTTTTAGGACCAGCAGATGGCGTTACAGTTATGTAACTGGACTCCCATGTAGTTGACCGCAGTTCAAATCCCAGATTTTAGCAGCTTAAAATTCATGCCAGATGAGGACCAACAGTTGGCATAATGGCTATGTTGTTGGACTCCCATGTAATCGACTATGGTTCAAGTCCTAGAACTGGTGGCTTAAACTCACACCGGGCGCATGTGCGTGCGTGTCCAAGATCCCAAGAGAATGGAGAAAAACGGATTGTGGCGTGGCCATTTCCCCCCCCCCCCCACCCCCCCCGGGGGGAGGAGGGGGATGAGTTCTCGCTTTCTGTCTCTGTCTTTCTGGTGAGCACATGCACCTTCTAGCAAAAACCTTTCAAAAAAGAAAAAAAAAAAAACCAGACGTGTGTGTGCATGACCAAAAATCACAAGAGAATGGAGAAGGGATTGCAGTGTGGGGGATGACTTCAGGCTTTCTGTCTCTCTGGCAAGTGCATGCACCTTATAGCAAAAATCTCTCAAAAAAAAAAAAGTCTCCTTTTATGCAGTTGTATTGCATGGCGTCTTTCTCCCACGCCCTGACTACTCCACTTTATGTAGACTCACCATGTAAAACTCGCTCTCTGGCAGGGCTTGCTCCGTACTGGCCATTGAGTAGTTGAAACAGCTGAGATGTGACTTTGTGCTTAAAAGAAAACCCACATTTACCTTAAGGAGAAATTCAAGAAACTTCTGATGTCCCTTATGCCTATAGGTGAGTCTCCAAATAACTTCAACAGCTCCTGGCGTTTCTTTCATTCCTCATCGTTTCTTTAGCCCTAAAGCACTCACCTTGCTCCTTCCCTCCAGTTAACTCTCGCACTTTGGAGTTCGCTGTTTCTTCTTGTCTTCCACCTGAGGCATTTCCAGTTTGGACTCAGTCTCTTAACTTAATGTTGTTCATCTTCAAGGACTAGTTTGGGCATATACCTGCAATGAAATTCCTGTGTTGCTTCTCCCTGCGTCTGTGGCTTGTGGCTTCACAGTAACAAGAGAGACCGTCCACCGAGGGTGCGAGCGTGGCGGATCCCAGTTGCCGTTGGCTGCGGAATGCCGGCCTCTGGGTTGTGACCCTTCCAAACGGTCATGCGATGAGTCAGTGTTTCTATTATTCTCCCAAAGGTCTGTTCGTGCGGAGGCCTGGAGTGAGTCTAGCTCATCAGTGCCTCCTTGCAATGGAGCCAGGCCAGCTGGCTGCAGCAAAGCTCCAGACAGCCTTTCACCCTTACAGAGGCGATTAATGGTTTTCAAGAGGGGGTGTGGGAGTGTGGCAGCAAAATGTCATTGTCCAAAGGGTTACTGGAATTCAACCCTGCGCAAGTATCCCCAAGACTAAGAAACTACAGCAAAACACTGCAAGGACTCCTTGGCCTCCAAATTCAAGTCTAAAGCTACTGGTAAGTAATAACCTTCTGTTTGATGAAGCAGTCTCCAGTGGTGACAGGTCAGGCCACCTGACAGCACCAGAATAATCATCCCACCGTTCCTGTTTTTCATCTCGGCCTTCCTAGAGTCCATCCTCCCATCTAGGATGGTATGTTTTTGAATAATTATAATCTGGAGACCGTTGCTCGCCTGTCTCATTAAACCTGGTCTCCAGCTTAGGGGCAGGCTTTCTTCAAATTCGAACCATGACTTTTAAGAATTCAAATCACAGTGTTCAGTTTTGCTTCCAAACTATGGTTTCTGAGATGCTGATTATTTTTTTTTTTTTGGAGAGGTTTTTGGTATAGTGCGCGTGCGCTCGCCAGACAGACAGAGATAGAGAGATAGAAAGCGAGAAATCACCCCCCAGAGGGGATGGCCACGCCGCAATCCCTTCTCCTCCATTCTCCTCTCGGGGATCTTGGGCACACACGCACACGTGCCTGGCCTGAGTTTAAGACACCGGGTCCAGGACTCAAACCGCGGTCAACTACATGGGAGTCCAGCAACATAGCCATTACACTAACTGCTGGTCCCTATTTTTTTCTTTTAAGACTCTTATCTCCCTCCCTCAAAAACCCCTGGAGAGCAAGGGGGAGGGGAGGGTGATAAAACATAAGGAATCTCTCCAGGGAGGGAGACTTACTCCAGAAGATCCTCAAAACAGGGATGCTTCCTTACTCTTTTCCCCCTAAGCTAGAATCTCTCAAACCGCAATTTGAACTTAAAACCAGTTTTCCTGACACAGTATCAAAGGCTGGCCTTAAAGGAGCCAGCCAGCTTCAACACATCCAATGAGCTAATACCTAGGATCCACTCTGCTCCACTGTCGGGACAGAGCAGGCTTTATTCCCACTGGATCACTGATAGAAATGACCTGCTGAGCTGAAAGACGGGCTTTGTTTGCTGGACAGAAGGGTGAGCCCCAAATGTGCCCTACTCAAACAGAAGCATCAAAGGTTCACTTGATTAGACCAGAGGAAGTAAAATGGGAACCCAAAAGGCACGCCGCAAGGCCAGCCCCACAGCAGTTAAGTGCTGTGCACAGAAAGCCGGAGCCCATGTGGCTGACCACCACTCTAGTCTCAGCCTTGGGGGATTGAAAAATACAACAGGAGAGTGTGTGTGCATGCTCCTGTGGCTCAAATCCTGATGGTGAGGAAAAAGGGTTGTGGATGGCCAAGCCCCAGTGAGGGATGCTTAGGCCCTCTCTGAGCCTTCTCAGAATTAAAACCAAAGGCATGCGTAGCAGGATTCTGGAGAGCAGAAGAGGGGCTGCGCTGTGACCGAGGAGCTGAAGGCTGGATGCTGCATGCACGCCTGGTGTAAAATGAGATCAGGAGAGGCAGCCCAGGCAATCTGCCCCCCGACCTCCCACCCCCAGCCCTGCAGGTTATTAGCAGAGGCAACTGAGAATCAAATGGTGACTCTCAAGAGCCAAGGGCAACCAGAGAGACCCCTCAGTTTCTAATATCTGACACTCATCATCCTCGAGATCCCACAATTATTATGTGACAAAGCAAAGGTCTGGATGTCACTTGTCTACTTGGGAAGAGTTGTTCCAACAGCAAGGATGAGTGCCGTCAGGAAGGCTGAACGGGGAGAGACTGCCTAAGTTTGTGGTCAGCTGGGTACAGTCTACCTTGGATGCTGGACCGCTCTGGATGGGAAGAAGAAAAGCATAAACAAACGTACCTTCTCAATCCTACTTTATTTGGTAAAACTCAGAAACTAACAACCAATTCACATCCCCCAAACGCCTTCTCTCTGAAGGCAGTTCCCAGAGACAGAAGGGCTGTGGCGTGGGAAATCATCCACCATCTCCAGGTTTTATACTCTGGCAGCCCTTGGCCTACCAATGCGCTCAAAGGCAATAGAGGAAAATAAAAGGAAGCTGTCACTTCAAAGACAAGAAAACCCGCCAGCCCTCTTCCCTACCCGCAACCTCCCCACACCCCCAAATGAAGTAAAAAGACAATGCATTAAGTGTGAGAAAGACACGCACGCGCGCACACACACACACACACACACACACACAGCTTCATTTCAGCCAAAGGGCTGCAAAATCCTTCCCCGGAAGGAGGACAACTGGCAACACCAATCAAGGCTTGGTGGTCTAAGATGATGGTTAGAATCATGTGAAACTGGTAAAAATCCAGGGAGAAAAATATTTCACCTTCAGCCCATTCCCAGGTCTCTAGTGAACTGGCTTTAGTTCTAAGATAGCCCCATTTCTACACAGGTGACCTGTGGCTTCTGGGGCGGATGGCTTAGGGAAGGGCCTCCCATGGCCAAGAAGACAATGGTGGAAGAGGAGGGGGAACGCAGGAGGGCAAAGCCTTTGGAGAGGGTCAGGAAAGGGACCCCTGCCCTTGGCTAGTGGATCCGAGTTAGCTCTTCTACCACCTTGATCAGGTCGTCTGCAGTGGCCTCTCGCTTCATCCCGCTGCCATCGTCATACTGAAAGGAGAAAAGGGGAAGAGAGCTGAGAAGTGTGGGGCTCTTTCCTCAGCTGGGGTAGGGGGTGCCCAGGGAAAGACACACTGGACCACTGCCACACAGGAACCCACACTTCCAGCAGGGCAGTCAGCAAGGCCCACGGAGGCAAAACTGGCTCACAGGTCACCACCTGGCATGCATCCTCTCTTCCAGGATGCTAAACTTCCTAGTACAGGGCCTGGTACCCAGTGGCTCCCCCAGAGGGTAGAGTATGTCAGACTACCCTCTCGTGCAGTAAAGGAGTATAAAGGGCCGTAAAGGCCCACTAGCACTTTGGACCTGAGGAGAGGTACCCAAGGTTCTGATGGCTCCCGGCCTGCCCTGCCCCAGGATGGACTAGATTTCTGGCCCATGGCTGAACACTGCACAACTCACCTGTAGGTTTGCCACAACCTCCTGCATCTTGGGGCGGCTGATATCCAGGAAACTCTCGATCAAGTCACCATCGATGAAGCCGGTGGCCGGCTCTGTCTTTCTTTCAGTGTGAAAGGATCTCCAGGTGGACATGTCAGTTAAGGAATTCGGACTTATCTGAAAACACCCTTACTTTCCAACATCCCCAGCTCTGAGCCACAGTCTGAGATGATCAGAAGGCTTAGAGGGACCAGCAGATGGCATAATGGCTGCATCACCAGACTCCCATGTAGTCAGCCACAGTTCACAGTTCAAGTCCTGGACCCTGCGGCTTAAAACGCGTCAGGCACATGTGCGTGCATGCCCGAAATCCCAAAAGGAGAAGGAACTGCAGTGTGGCCACCCGCCTAGACGGTGATTTCTCGCTTTCTGTCTCTGCCTCTCCAGCAAGTGCACATGCTCTATAGCAAAAATCTCTCTTTAAAAAGAAAGAAAAAAATAATAACATCCCATATAGTGAACGACAGTTTGAGCCCCAGACCAGCAGCCTGAAAATCACGACTGGCACATGTGCATGTGTGTCCCAAATCCTGAGAGAATGGAGAAGGAATTCCAACAGACATCCCCCGTGGGGGGGTGATTTCTCACTTTCCCTCCCTCTCTCTCTGGTGAGTACACGTGCCCAATGCCAAAGACCTAAAAAAAAAAAACATCCAAACAAAAAATCCTGTTTCCTACGAAAGCGTAGCCAAGACACTTAGGACAGCCATTTCCGGAGCAGCTGGGGTAAAGCGGCTCTCTGTATGCGCCAGGACGTGCTTTCCAGGACAGGGATGGCTCTGGGAAGGATATAAGGAGTGCTCGATCTTGCCCACACTCTTGATGACCTTATTGAGTCTATTCTGCATGTCCAGCAGGAGGTTGTACCAGCTCTCTGACAGGGAGGTCACCAGTCCTGAAGCAACAAGGCGGGCAGTGAGCTGCAGAGCTCCAGAGCCCACAGCACCCCTCTCCCATCGGCGCAGACCAGGTAAGCACAAGGGAGGACAAGCTTGTTGCAGCCTGCTCTGGTCAACACCTTGGTCTCATCCCTCAGATGGTGATCCTGGGAAGGAGGCATATGTGGGAGTGGGCCCTGCAGGGGTCAGCCTTACCAATCATGCCATTAACCGTGCCAAAGAGCACTGAGCCCTGTGTCGGGGTGGACGTCTCCCCCAGATTCTGCATGACCAGAGAGCCGTGGCAGAAGACGTTGACAAACTCGCCCAGGTGGAACAGGCCAACCTCCTGAAGATGCTGCCGCTCCTCGTCAGTGGTGGCAGCACTGAAAGGCAGCGTGAGCAGGTCAGGACCTCCTGCCCACCACAGGACCATGTGCAGCAGACACGTGTGCAGGGGTCTCTAGGGAGCCCACACTCTGCAGGAGGTGCCCAGCAGGAACAGACTGAAGTACAGCCTTTGATTCTAGCTCTGAGAAGAGGAGCACCAGAGCCCAATATGGAACCCAGTGCTGGAACCCAATATTATCATCCACCGCAGACCCAGGAGCTCCAGCCCCTCCCCACCATCCCCAGGCTGCCTGTTCACCTGTCCTTCTGACACACAAACAAGTTAAAGGCGTTTTCAGCTCCCAGGAAATTGTCATCATCCAAGATTTCCACAGCACTCATCCAGTTGGGATTAAAGTCTCGAGCAATCTTAAACAACGTGTAACAAAAAAACGCAATCAGCAGTCTGTGTGGAATCCAACTCCAGGTCTTGTCTTTCTTTTACCCTACCCCGCAGAAGACTGAGCCCTGTATTCAATGTGAAAGTCATGCTAAAGAGATTCTTCTCACCCAGATATCTGGCCAATGAAGGCCATTTGGCTACAACCACCCAGAGATGGAGCCTAGTCATGGATTCAGGTTGGGAGGTCAAAAATGAGGAAAACATCCTTCAGGGAAGACATTTCTGCCTCTGCTGGACTTGATAATCCTATACCCCCAGAGCAACAGCTACAGGGCCAGGGCTTAAGTGTGAAGTCTGTCCTCTAGCCCCCCACTACCTCTTCAAAGTTTCCTTCCATGGGCTTGTAGGCGAGCAGCAGCACTGAGCGCATGAGGTCGCCCACCAGGAT